CCCCAAAACCCCAAAACCCCAAAACCCCAAAACCCCTTAAGTGAAAAATCATATAATTTCGGAGTAATTGTAATTAAATTAGGCAGAGAAAAAAATCGACTGAGATTTAAGAGGATTTTAAACAAAGCATTTATAAAATTAGAATAGGCACATAATATAAGGCAGCTTTTATAAAACAGTATTTTCTAGACTGACTGACTCCGACAAGATTATACAAACAAAGAGTTGATTCATCAGCAACAACCAGAAGATTTAGGGTTGCTATTTGTATTCTTATCAAGCTTTTTATTAGTGGCGTTGTAGTTTTCCCCTGACATTACCTAGTAGCTTTCATTACCCACTCTGATTCCTGACTTCTCACTTGAGAGGTCGTACATTCCCTTGTCAATATTCTCATAGATCATCTGTGATGTCTGTAAGAAAGCCTCTTCCACATTGAAAGCAGTCTTGGCAGAAGTCTCTGTAAAGATAAGGCCATTCTCCTTTGCGAATCTATCTCCCTCTTCAAATGAAACTTATCTGCGAGCATCTAAATCGCATTTATTGCCGATCAACATAATAGTCATATCTGGGTTGCCGTTTTATCTAACTTCCTCAAGCCATCTGGTCAAATGATTAAATGTGTCTCTTCTATAAATAGGTGGTTAGAAATGTGTCTCGGATTGAAATTATGAATTATTGATTAAATTTCTCAAATTTATTGAGGGAAAATGAGTTCCTCTACATACCTTGTGATATCGTAAACAAGTAAAGCACCTGCTGCTCCTCTGTAATAAGATCTGGTGATGCTTTTAAAGCTTTCCTAGCCAGCCTAAATTAAAAGTTTACTAAAGATTGAGATTTCTTACTGTGTCCCAAATTTGAAGCTTGATGTTTTTGTTATGAATTTAGACTGTTCTAGCACCGAATTCAACTCCGATCGTTAGATCGTGCTATTGTCTAAATCTCTTGTCTGTGAACTGAAGCAACAGGCATGATTTACCCACACCTATAAAAATATCGATTGAGCATAAATAGATTTTAGAGAATTTATAAGCCTACCTGTGTCTCCAATAATGATGTATTTGAATAAGTATGCGTAAGACATTTTCTTTTATCGACTAAGTTATTGTTCCTTGTAGGAATAATATATATTATAATTACTTATTTAAATTAATAATTAAACAAATTTTAATGAACTCTTAAACCATTGTTTAAACCAATCTCAAACTACTTAAAAACTAGGCCTACAATAACATGGAGAAAACAGATGTTATTACTAAAGTACGCTTTTATAAAATAATAGAGCAATTACAAATAGAATCTTCTTCACTTGATGAATGAAATTGTAAAGATAAAAATAGGATAGGAGACATTGGAGTTAGAGTAGAGTCAAGATATTCTCATGGCTGATGACAGGTAAGTTTAAAGCTTCATCTTATTTTCGAATGCCTATTAATATTCCTTAGAATGGAAAAAGAGCTAGGGGCATGTATATAAAACTTGAAAAAATAGAGGAATGAAATACTTTGTGATTTGGTAAGTGACAATAATTTAAAGGATTAATGATTTTTTTATTAGGAATTATTTGGAGATTAATTAGTCCACTTAAATTATGACAATCTTGATCGATTCTCTTAGCATATCAATTCAGCAACTTAGCTAGATATTAATGAGAAAGATGAGATTACTGAGTCAATCGGTGAAATCGACAACTTTCTTTGATAGACTTGTAAATTCTGACTATAGATAGTGCTGTAAAGTGTAAATATACCAACTTTTTAATTCCCTGATTCTTCATATTGCCAATCTCTATTAAACATGGGGTTTTGGGGTTTTGGGG